TTTGTTTTTTTTTTAAAAAGTCTGACCCTTTTACCAGGTTTCGCATCATTGGAGATCATGTGTAGCTAAAGATATCTCAAAGGACAGGGGTGGGATAAGTCAGATCTTACATTCATGGCATCATATCAGCTCGGCGTCACCGTTTGCATTTGGGGTATCTTAATGATTAGTTACTGCGTGTATTCGACAAATAGTCCGGTACTTCATGACAGTCCGGAATAGCCATGGAGCTCACGAGGAGAAAGGAAATGTGAAATGAATGTTTTGAAAGGTTGACGTTCGAGAAGTTCAAAAATAAAAATATTTCGATGTACTCGCGCTAGACCGATTTGGGAAGGACACCAAATTATCTTATCAAATCTTGAATGTTCAATCAAATATAGACAAATATCAAATTAAAACAACCACCGAGTCAGTTTGAGGGGGGAGGAATAGTACAGCATTGCTGCTGATATGTTTACTATACCCTCTTCTGTCTACCATCTCTCTATTTCACTCCCATTATTTTCTACGAGTAGGCGCTAGTTGTTTAGCTAGTTGTACTCCGTACGATCGATCATCGATCTTATCTCGGCTCTTCCCCCCTTATAAAGCCTTTGCAAATAGAATACCATAGCAAGTGGCTGGTGACCATGGACTTCCTTAAATCTGCTGTAGCCTCTGCGATTGCAAAGAGCAGCTCATTCCCATATTCCTTTGGAGACAAGGTTGATAACAGCGACTCGATTTGGACCCTTCACAATGGCACCAAAAAGGTATTAAGCAACTTTACAACCATTTTTTGCTAAGTGGATTACTTGCTAACCGATGTCTGCGATGTCCTAGGAAGATAGCTCTCCATGTAGTATATTTACCTTCGAGATCGTTCAGAATAGGTCGCATCTCCCACTTGCGAAGAACGCGCTGCGGAAGCTACGGACACTAAGACATCCAGGGGTGATAAAGGTCCTAGAAACAATCGAGGTATGATATACAGTTACGGGAGCTAGTTAAGGGGTAAATGATACTGGATGATGTTTAAATTAACACGGGAAAAACAGACGGAAACACAAATCTACATCATTGTAGAGCGAGTTACTCCTCTGTCTTGGCCTGTTAAAAGGCGCAGTCTCTCGGAAGAAACGATAAAATGGGGCTTGTATACTATTGCGGTTAGTATATCATTCCTTTTCCGTAGGATTTGGAAATGTCCCTGACCAGATTTTCTAGTCCACACTTAAATTTATAAATGAAGATGCCTCGTCTGTACATGGTGCAATTAGAGTATCGTCAATATACACTGGGGAGAGCGGAGAATGGAAGCTGGCTGGCTTTGACATACTGAGCTCGCTGAAGGAGGAGTCTCCCGTAATATATGTTTGTCACCCATATTATGGACCAAGGCCTACTGTGTGAATCCATATTTCTAACAAGGCATATAGACATATGGGAGTTTATTGCCCGATTCAAGGCGGTATAACCCCCCAGAAATTTTGAAGGAAGGATGGGACGTTATAAAGAATAATCCACTTCATGCCGTGGATGCATATAGTTTTGGAGCGGTTGTATTTGAAGCCTTCAATGGATCTTTCAAAGGGGGTGAACAAGCAGGGCAGACTTCAAATATACCCCCCAGCATGCGGCCGAGCTATAAAAAACTTATGAATGCAAACCCAAAACTACGACTAAGTGTAGCGCATTTTCTTGACCAAGGGAAGCGTTCAGGGGGCTTCTTCCAGACTCCATTAATTCGACTGTCTCAAGATATTGAAAGCCTAGGGCTTAAGAGTGATGAGGAAAGAGAACAGTTTATTAAGTAAGTGTAGGGCTAGAACAACCCCTTTCCCTAGTGATGCTAATAAGAGTAGTGAGCTAGATGAATTATCAGATGACTACCCGGAAGAGTTCTTTAAAATGAAAGTATTGCCTGAACTCCTAAAATCTGTGGAATTTGGTGGAGGCGGCCCAAAAGTACTTTCAACTATTTTGAAAGTCGGAACCAAACTTAATGACGATGAATACACCCAAAAGCTTACACCGGTCATTGTTCGGTTGTTCGCAAACCCAGATCGAGCTATGCGCGTGTGTTTACTGGATAATCTTCCCATTATGATCGATCGTATACCCCAAAGGACTGTGAATGACAAAATATTCCCCCAAATGGTATGTTTCAGTGTGGTTTAGGCTGTATCAATGCTAACACTTAGCCAGGTGACAGGATTCACAGATCTTGCGCCGGTAGTACGAGAACAAACGGTCAAGGCTGTG